AGTCAATTATTTATGCCAACTATTATTACTATTACATTATATATTTTAATAATTTTAAGTTATATTAATTATATTAAGTATATTAATTATGATTAACTAGTATCATTAATTGATGAATTATTTACATAATTCTTATTAATATTTAATTAATTACTTAATATTAATATTTTAAATCTAATTAATTAAGTTAGATCAATATAACTAGCTAGGGTTTGCTTTCATCTTGCTGTTCGGCTTCATTGCTTCGCCGGAGGCGAAGAGATCGCTCGCGTCGCTTTTCGGCTGCTTTCGTGCGTTCGACTTCGCTCTCTTCGACGAATTTCCCTTCCTGTCGATCGAAGTTACGAGATTTTGATCGGAAGCAACAACGGGAGCTCGCTGGCTGTGAAGGTGACTTTCTCCCCTTTCGCGACGGTTTCTTCGGCCATATCCAAAAATCCCCCGAACAGAGGGATTTAGTAATCCGGGACTTAAGCATAAATCCTTAAATCGGGATTTTACCCATCACCGGGATTTATTAACGAGTGCACAAAAACGTTTGCTGGATTTAGCGTAAATCCGACTTAATCCTTATTGTATAATTCCGACCACTAATTCGGATTTATAGATTACTAAATCTCACAAAAGTTTAAATCCGTGCTTGAGAAACAGCCCCTCAAGGTGGAGAGAAACGGAGCCGGAGCGCTTGGATCGCGTCATTGAGAGATGGCAAACCGAGAAGCAGAAGAGAAGGAGGAGAACAGGCACCAATGGCCACCTGCAACGCTCATTATCGTCTGTAACGTATGCAATCCCTAGCCCTAATTCTTATCATTATGTTATCTATGGAATTCATGACTTAAAAAAATAGATTCGTGAACTTGTCGCCCTTGTTACTGCTTTTAGAATTTGTTGTTCTGTTTTCTTTGTGTTAATTGCTTAATATGAGGATTAACGTTGTTGATGCTATAATCTATGACTTGGAGAATTTGAAAGTTGGGGCCTTTTAGTTGCTATGCTTTAATAGATTGTGGGCGCTAAGCCAACTTGGATTTTCTAGTGGAATCTTTGGAACGTTATCTCTTTATGCATTTTGTTTGCTTAGCTCCATGAGCTAGGGAAGAAAGCAATATCTCTGCAGCATTTGTGAATAAATGAAGTTAATACGTTTGTGATGAAGCTCTTCAGTTAGTGACAAGCGTACCATGATTTTTTTAACAGTTTATCAATGAAGCAATTTCGATTGCACTTGCACTTTCTGATGTAGAGAAAAGTGATGCAGTATGAGGCTGCTGTTGGTTGGTTTGCAGATTGGTATGGCACATTCTAAGCAATGGTTAGGATAGGAGAGTTGAAAGAAATGGACATGGAGCATATAATTCTTTCCTTTTTTTTTACTTGATTTCTTAGAAATTGCTTAAGGAGTCGCAATAATGGCACACTGATTTTTAGTTAAATATCATATAGGCGCCTCAGCTGAGGTTTGGACCACACTTCAGTTTCGTACATATTTTTGAAAATTCTCCAGTTAGGTCTCCCATTCAAGAATTTTTCATCAAGTGCTTTATTAATAGAACAGTCAATTAGAAAAAATGGCAAAATTTACCTACATTTTCCTTCATTTCCTATCTTTGGTTCTGATACTTCTTGCCCCATCTCTCTCACTTTCTAATGGAGCGAATATTCTGTGATGTCACTGATATCAACAACAAACCCCTTTGTTCAAATACCCTTTCTCCTTCTCCTCTACAGTGTTGAGGCACAACAGAGGGTAGAAAGAGGGGGAGCGGTGTATTTCGGTGTTGTGTAATGTGCACATAGACTTATTTTAAATCATCTCAATTCTAATTCTCACTCATGGTGTAATCTTGAACTAAAACATTTTTAATTATAGAAGCAATGCATGGGGATTCAATGTATATGTAAGATAGAAAAATATGCCACACAAGTTATTTCAGTTGTATATGTAAGATTAAGCAAGTGATTAGATATGGTAAACTGAGTACAACTTGAATGATATAACTAATGAGTGTTGAGGGCACACACGAGGTGGAAGGGTGGAGGTTGTATTGTCTTAATGTGCACATCAAACTTTTTTTTTCAATTCATCAATTTATCCCCAAATGGATGTAATCTAGAATAAATCAATTTAATTATAGAAGGAATGGATGTGCGATGTCAAATGAATATAAATTTTTATTAAATACCACCAAGATTAACTTTAGTGGTATGACTAAGCTAAACAAGTGAATTGAGGAGATGTACTGAAGTGCGTACGAAATGGAGTTACTAAAGCAATTGAGGGTCTACATACAAGAGGGGGAGGGAGAGCGTTGCTCACTCACATGTGCTCCGAGCCTATGTAATGTGCACATTTGAATTTCTGTTGAAATTGCCATCAATTTCAAATCCCACAAATGATGTGATCTAGAAACTAATATATTAAGTATAGAGAGCATGCATGCAAATTCAAATGTATGTTAATGAGCAAAATGTCCAAATAGTCTACTTGAGCTGATATGATTGTAAGGATTAGTTAATGATGAGTTATGTAGCTGAGAAGTACTATGAAATGATTAACTAAGTCACATCGATAGTTATATTTTACGAAGCCAAAGTTATCAAATCTAGTTTATAGAAAGTTGATTGGTCATGTATGTGAATGTTTATAGAACCAAAGAGTGACTTTTAGTATTTTGCTCAGACAGGTCATATTTCACTCTATAAGTTTAATGCAGATCACTTCTTATGTTCACACAGAAGGATAATCTAAGCCATTACGATATTGTAATACAAGTGCAGTATTTCAAGCTTACAGAATTCTTATGCACACCAAAAGTATTTTTTTCTTTGTGGTTTTGGCAACCCCATGGCCTAGCCTACAATACACACACAGAAAAAATCCCATACTTGTGATTCCACGTACTTCCATGTTAATAATCAAAAATTCTTTAGGGAATGGAGAATCTTCACCAAGCACACTATCCTTTATTGGCAAGTGTTGTAAACCAAATACTCTCTTACCACCGAAGGTACACCTTCGAGCACAGTCTTACATGGTTAGGCAGTCCACTCTTTAAAATAAAGAGTTTTTTCCTTTATATCAAAGTTTTCCAAAATTTGCAAGGTGATGAATAATGTACTTCTACTATGCTGCACTATCTCTTCCACGAATTCTAGATTATTTATAACAATGGAGATTCTGGTTTCCACAACCAATCTATACCCAATTTGGTAATCATGTAAGGCTAAATTTTATGAAGTATTACTACATGAGTGAATGAATATATTACCAAATGTTTAGCCTGTCAATGGGACAGTATGGTAATAAGTTGTTTCAACATTTTGCTCCAGTATTGCATTATCCTTTTTTTTGCAGGAGACAATCTATTTAAAAAAAAAGGACAATCGACTTTACTGTCAAATATGATTTTCAACAGCAAAATAAATCATTTGATTGCTGGCAATGTGTTGCAATTTTGTGCACAGCACTTACTAAACTTCGAAGCAAATTTGCGAACTCTCCTTATTTAATTTAGGTGACATTATGTCAACTTTAAAGATTATTGCATAACGCCCAAGGTATACCATGCTTGCGTGTCAAAAATTTCGGAGGAGAGTGAGAGAGTGTGAATGTTCTTTGTATTCTAGTCACCCACTACAAATAAGTCAGAGTTTAAGAGACAATTGATTTTTTTATGTAAAATCCAGAAAAAAAGAGCTATAGGGTCTGGCCCGACTTAAGTGATTTCACTAATGTTCTGTGTAATCAGCACCTTCTTATTCATAATTCAGTCCCTTTGGCATATCTCCTTCGTGTATTCTGGTGCATGCTCGAGTAAGTATTATGTTAAAAGATTACAAAAGTCTACTTCCAACCAAGTCCAAAAGGCACAAGCACATAAGCCTGATGATACATGACTCGAGCACAAGACAAGAAGGTGTAGGAGTTAGTACGTGGATAATTGTTATTTTGTAGCAAACCGTTATTCAATTTATTTGATGTAGTATGCTCGCTGATATTAAACAATCTCTATTTATTTATTTAATTATTAATAATTTTAATTAATTTATTTAATTTATGCACTAATTGTACAATTAACTATTTAATTAATTTACTTAATTATTAATATTTTAAATTATATTAATTAAGTTAATCAATAATAACTTAGCTAGGGTTTGCTTTTCATCTTGCTGTTCGGCTTCTTTGCTTCGCCGGAGGTGTAGAGATTGCACGGGTCGCTTCGTCGGCTCTGTTCGACTTCGCTCCTTCGACGACTTTCCCTTCCTGTCGATTTGGAAGTTACGACATTTTGATCGGAAGCAACAACGGGAGCTCGCTGGCTGTGAAGGTGACTTTCTACCTTTCGCGCGCTTCTTCGGCCAAATACCAAAAATCCTCCGAACAGAGGGATTTAATAAATCCGGGATTTAAGCCATAAGTCCTTAAATCCGGGATTTACCCATCACCGATTCACCGGGATTTATTAACGAGTGCACAAAAACAATTTGGCTGGATTTAGCGTAAATCCGACTTAAATCCTACTGTAAATCCGACACCAAACAGCCCCAAATTCGGATTCATAGGATTTACTAAATCTCACAAAAGTTAAATCCTGCTTGTTGAGAAACAGCCCCTCAAGGTGGAGAGATAACGGAGCCCGAAAGCCATTGGATCGCGTCATTGAGAGATGGCAAACCAAGGAGCAAAGAAGAGGAAGGAGGAGAACAGGCAGCATATGGCCAACCTGCAACGCCTCATTATCGCCTGTAACGTATGCAATCCCTAGCCCTAATTCTTATCATTTATGTATCTATGGAAGTTCATGAATTAAAAAAATAGAAATTCGTGACTTGTCGCCTCGCCCTTGTTACTCTTTTAGAATTTGTTTGTTCTGTTTCTTTTGTGTTAATTGCTTTAATATATGAGGATTAACGATTGGGATGCTTAAATTTTATGAATTGGAGAAATTTGAAAGTTGGGGCCTTTTAGTTGCTGTGCTTTAATAGATTGTGGGTAGCTAAGCCAACTTGGATTTTCTCAAGTGGAATCCTTGGGAAACGTTCTCTCTTTATGCACTTTTGTTTGCTATGCTCCATGAGCTAGGGGAAGAAAGCAATATCATCTGCAGCATTTGTGAGATAACTGAAGTTATGACGTTTGTTGATTGAAGCTCTTCAGTTAGCTGACAAGCTGTACCCATGGATTTTTTTTAGCAGTTATCAATGAAGCAATTTCGATGCGCTTCACTTTCTGATGTAGAGAAAAGTGATGCAGTATGAGGGCTTGCTTGTTTTGGTTTGCAGCTTGGTATGGCACAATTCTAAGCAATGGTTAGGATAGGGAAGTTGAAAGAAATGGACATGAAGCATATACATTCTTTCCTTTTTTTTTTACTTGATTTCTTAGAAATTGCTTAAGGAGTTGCAAAATAATGGCACACAGATTTTTAGGTTAAATTTCATATAAGCTGAGGTTTGGACCACACTTCAGTTTCATACATATTTTTGAAAACTCTCCAGTTAGGTCTCCCATTCAAGAATTTTTCATCAAGGTCTTTTTATTAATAGAACAGTCAATTGAGAAAAAATGGCAAATTTACCAACACATTTTCCTTCATTTCCTATCTTTAGTTCTGATACATCCATTGCCCCATCTCTTCCACTTTCTAATGCAGCAATATTCTGTGATGTCACTGATATCAACTACCCCTCGTAACATTTTTGTCAAATACGCTTTCTCCTTCTCCTCTATATGTGTTGAGGGCACACCAAGAGGTAGAAAGGGGGGAGGGTTGTATTCGGTGTGTAATGTGCACATTGAACTTATTTTTTAATTCATCAATTCTAATCTCACTCAATGGATGTAATCTTGAACTAAACATTTTTAATTATAGAAGCAATGCATGCGGATGTCAAATGTATATAAAGATAGAAAAATACCACACAAGATTATTTCAGTTGTATGATGTAAGATTAAGCAAGTGATTGAGATATGTAGCTGAAGTACACTATGAAATGATTAACTAAGAGGTTGAGGGCACATCAAGAGGTGGATAGGGTGGAGGGTTGTATTTGGTCTGAAATTTGCACATCAAACTTTTTTTTGCAATTCATCAATTCTAATCCCCCACAATGGATGTAATCTAAAACTAAATATATTTAATTATAGAAGGAATGCATGTGGATGTCAAATGAATATAATTATATTAAATACCACTCAAGATTACTTTAGTTGTATGATGTAAGACTAAGCAAGTGATTGAGAGATGTACTGAAGTGCGTACGAAATGATTAACTAAGCAATTGAGGTCATACCAAGAGGTGGAGAGGGGGAGGGTTGTATTTGGCATGTAATGTGCACATTGAATTTCTTTGAAATTCATCAATTCAAATCCCACATAATTGATGTGATCTAAAACTATATATAATTAAGTATAGAAGCAATGCATGCCAAATTCAAATGTATGTAATGAAAGCAAAATGCCACACATAGTTACTTGAGTTGTATGATGTAAGACTAAGTTAGTGATTGAGTTATGTTGCTGAAGTACTATGAAACGATTAACTAAAGTACACAATCTAGGTTATATTTCACTACGCCAAATTTATCAAATCTAGGTTTATAGAAATGATGTGGTCGTGTATGTAATGTTTATAAGAAATTAAGAACCAAAGAGTGATTTAGTATTTTGGCTCAACAATTTATATTTCACTCTATAAGTTTAATGCAAGATCACTTTATTATGTTCACCACAAGAAGGATTAATCTAAGCCATTACACATATGTAAACAAGTGCAAGTAATGTCAAGCTATATAATTCTATGCACACAAAAGATTTTTGTGGTTCTGGCAACCCCATAGGCCATAGCCTACATACACACATAGAAAATTCCCGTACTAGGATTCCACTATCTCATGTTATAAATACAAAAAATCTCATTTAGTGGAATGGAGAAATCTTACACCAGCACACTATCCTTATTGGCAAGTGTTTAACCCAAATTACTCTCCTACACCAAAAGGGTACAACCTTGAGCACCTAATCCTTACATGGCTTAGTCAGTCCACTCTTTAAAATAAGAGAGTTTTTCCTATGTCAAAGTTTTCCAAAACTTTGAAGGTGATTGAAAATGTACCTTCTACTATGCTCACTATCTTCCACAATTCTAGATTATTTAATACAATGAGAATTCTGGTTCACACACAAAATACAATTTGGAAACAATGAAGCTAACATTTTATGAAGTATCCTAATGAGTGAATGAATAATATTACCAAAATGTTTAAGCCGTCAATGGAAGTATGTAATAAGTTGTTTAGCATTTTGCTCAGTATTGCATTACCTTTTTTTTGCAGACAATCTATTATAAAAAAAAAGGAATGTTTAACTTCAAATATGATTTTCAAACAGCAAAAATAACATTTTGGATTTGTGCAATGTGTGCAAATTTTAGTTTGCAAAGCACTTACTAGAACTTCAAGCAACATTTGCGAACAAATTCCTTATTTAATTAGTGAAATATGTGAACTATAAAGATTATTGCAAACGCAGAGGTTTATACATGTTGCGTGTCAAAAATTTCGGGAGGTAGAGTGAGAGAGTTGAATGTCTTTGCATCTAGCACACACACAAATAAGAACAGAGTTGTAAGAGACAATTGAGTTTTTATGTGAAAAATCCGAAAAAGAGAAAGCTATAGGGTCTGGCCCAGCTGAAGTGATTTAACTAATGTTTGTAATCAGATACAAATGATATCATTTCTTGCGATTGGGATTAGTGTTGATACAATACAGTAGACACAGACTGTAGGAGTTAGCTTTAAGAAATTGTTTATTTGACCGTTATTCTTTGAGGAGGGGAGATCATAGACTAAGAAGCCTAACGTAAATCTTAATGCTGATATTGTGAGTCATAGTTGGTGTCAAAAGCATATATTGATCTTATAGGCAATGTTGTGCATTGACGTTATTGGCGACAACAGATGATGAAGTCAATTGATGTTACTATAGCAAGGAAACAATGGTCAAAGGATAGTAGGTTATGATTGGAGAACTGTAGTAAAATGATCGTGCTTTGAGAGCCATAGGCGACGATGGTCGGAGGACCATAATCGGGCAATCATGGTTGGGGGAATATTGTTGGGTGATGCTGGTCGATGAAATAAAGTCGAGTGACGGTGAGCAGAGGATCGTAATCAATCAGCGGGGGTCCGAGGATTAAAGTCAGGTGATTGTGGTCTGACAATATTGGTTGGGCGGTGGTTTGATGTCACAGTTGGGTGATGGCTTAATAGTGGTGGCCAGTCAATGGTTTGATGGTGGTTCTCTGGTGGAACTTCAAAGTTATTTGAGCCTTTGATCTTTTTTGAATCTTAAGCTAAGGTCCTCCCTCCAAATTCCTCTTCCTGTAGAGAGTGGGGGCTTATATTTATAAATTTTTGAGCCTGTAAATATAGCCAAAATCAGGAACACTCCATTTGATTGCCCATGTTGATTCTCTTGATTATGAGTTGTTCTTTAAGTATTTACGGGCTTTAATGATGTTAGAATTAAATAATCCTAAGTTAGGCTCGTCTCGTCGAGGCTCTTGATTTGACTATAACCATGTGAGACTTGGAGATCATTTAATTGTCTAATTAATATATCAAAGTATCTAATTATGCTTCAAATTCTTGATCTATGCTTATTTGGATTTGGATCGGATTATTTTTTGGTTTCGATGGGTTTGTCTTGTCGAGACGTTCAATTTGAGTATAAGTTTGCTAAAATCAAAATTCGAATGGTTCTAAATTTGATTATGTAAGCTTCCCGTTTAAATATGCATCGAGATTCATGACCAAATTAGCTGAGTTTTTATGACCTTTGTCACATAATCTTGAGTGTTGATCTTGATGGTATGCCCACTTGAAATCTTCATGGCATTGCACCTTTGACTCCATCTGTAAGTGGAAAATACTTCATGCATGATTAGGGATCATTCTGATGATTGTTATGATTGATTCACTTATAAATGATAATGATAGTTACCATGGATCGATGAATTTAAAGGAAATACTGCACCACACATGATTTATTATTATCTTATCAAGTAGTGTTTAAATGAGAATTTGACTTTTAACCGGACACAATGGCGAAAAAGGATTCATGTAGCTGACCCCATGTTGTGGGACAAAGGGTTGATGTTGTTGTTGTATATCAAATAGTGAATTACACATAAGTGTATATACTCAACACCCTCTCTATTGCCTCTGCCTCTTATGTTCTTCTTCTTCATTTCCAACACCAATGAACCTAGGGAGCAGGAGAAGAAGCTCTTCTTTTGTGGAGAGACAAGCTAAACTCAACATATTAAGTTTGTGCAATGCAATTTTGAGGTCATGAGAGCTCTTAGGAACTCCAATTATGATCGGTAGAGCTCAAATAGATTGCAGAAGTATAACCCTAATCCTATAATAGGACAAGATGCTAACAATGAGATATTTTTGCAATAAAATTTAATATCATTCAAATTTAAGTAATAAATTATGCCATGTAATCTAAATTAGCAGAATATTTAATCTTGTTAACAAAAAAGTGCATTTGCAGTTGTTGAAAATCAACCTAGGAGACCACAGTCAAATCTCAAAAGATGCTAGGATCTTAGTGGAAGGGTTACAAAAACATGTACCATCACAAAGTATGGTAAAAAAAACTGAAGGACCTAGTGATATTTACCCAATTTTTTATGATAAATTGGATTCATGAGTAACATCTAAAGAATATGAAAAAATGCAATATTATTTTTCAAAAGAAACAAATCTAGTTCACGGGAGGTGCATTAAGGATGAAGATCAAAAATATTTTTTTAGAAGAGGATATTCAACATAGGCAGATAAGATATTTCAATAAGATTTTCAATTATGATTGTGAGAATACAATTCACTTTAGCTACCTTAGCGTCCTAAATGAAAATAAAGATATATGTTTGTATCATTGTATTAGTAAAATTGAAGTTGGAAAGGCTTTAAATAAAATGAAGTGCGAAAAACTTGTGGGCCTGAGGATATTCTAATAAAGGTTTGGAAAGACTTAGGAGATTAAAGATTTCTTGGCTTGCTAAACTTTTTAATATTATTTTAAATACTAAAGAGATGCCAGATGAGTGGAGGAGTGTGTTAGTTATTGTTTTTAAGAATAAAGGTGATGCACATGAGTATGTGAATTATAAAGGAATTAATTAATGTGTCATACCCTAAAATTATGGGAGAGAGTAATTGAGCATAGGTTACAACATGGTACTAATGTTTCTTAACATTAGTTTGTATTCATGTTGGGTTGGTCTACTATGGAAGTCATACATTTGTTGAGAAGTTTTATGGACAAGTATTGAGAGAGTAAGGAGGATCTACATATGATATTTATTGATTTAGAGAAAGTATATGATAAAGTTCTAAGAGAAGTGCTTCAAGGAGTTATAGAAAAGAAATGAGTTAATAATGCTTATATTTAAGTCATTAAGGATATGCATACATGAGGTGTTACTTGTATACAAACACATGGTGGTTTGACTAAGTATTTTTCTATTTCAGTCAGATTACATCAAAGATCAACTTTATGCCCATATCTTTTTTGCTTTAGTCATGGATCTTACTAGGCATTTGCAAGAGTACCCGGGTGCATGCTTTTTGCTGTTGTTGATAATATTAGAGAGAGAGAGAGAGAGTTGAAGGAAAACTTTAATTATGTAGGTCAACTTTAAAGTCTAAAGGTTTTCGTTTGAGTGGATCTAAAACTGAGTACATAGTATAATTTTAGTTATTATAGATCTAGTGGTGGGATTGTGACATTATGTGGTCTAGTCAAGAGTGTATATTTTAGATATCTTGGATTTTTTTTTTTCAAAGCAATGGTGAAATAGATGGTGATATTATAAGTAGAATTCAATTTGGATGGTTGAAGTGGAGGAATGGATCAGGCCTTTTTTGTGATAGAAAAGTATCCCTCAAAGTTATAGGGAAAATTTTATAAGATGGTGGTAAGACTTGCAATGCTTTATGATGCATAATTAAAAGATAAGCATAAAATTAAGTATTATAGAGATGAGGAGGCTTAGGTGGATGAGTGACTTTACATTTAGAGATAGAATGCAAAAAAAGTATATATGTGGATAGGTTGGAGTAGCTTTAATGGCAGATAAGATTAGAGAGAGTCTCCTTTAATGTAGATGGTTTGGTCATATAAAATATTGGTCTTTCTATGACCTGATTAGGAGAGTAGATGTATTAGATCTGACATTTTTTGAGAAAGGTAAATGTAGACCTAAAATGACTTGTTTAGAAAGTATTAGAAATGACTTTTTTATTAGATTTAAATGATAATTTGACTCTTAATAGGACACAATGGAGAAAAACTGACTCCATGTAGTGGGATAAATGCTTGATCTTGATTTTTTTTTTAAAAGAAACAAATCTAATTTCATTAAATAAAGAGGTGATTTTAACACCTGAGGACATGCCTAAAATGCCCAATTTAATCATAAACTTGAATCTTGATTGATTTGTAATTAAAGTCCTCTTCATCAGAAGCTGTAAACCTAGACCCATAATTTCAATTTCGACTATGGTACAAGCACTTGTCCAGCTTTCCTTCTTAGGGCTGCAAACGAACCGAACCGAGCCGAGTATGTGAGTGTTCATGTTTGTGTTCATTTAATATTAGCTTGTTCAAGTTTGGTTCATGTTTGTTCGAGCTTTATTGTTTGTGTTCATGTTTGGTTCATTTAAATTAATGAGTGTTCATGTTCGGTTCATGTTCAGTTCTTCTATTTACATTTTTGCTCTACTTTTCTACCATCAGAAGCTGTAAACCTAGACCCATAATTTCAATTTCAACTATGGTACAAGCACTTGTCCAGCTTTCCTTCTCATTGCAAGTAGAAGGAACTTCTAGAAATTTATTATTTTAGTGCTACTCATATGTGTTTCCCGTGTTTGTGAGTTTTAATGATTGTTGATGGTTTGGGTTAGTTTCACATATTGCCAATAAAATATTTTGGAAGATGGTGTAATTCTCCTATTCCTCTTACACAGTTAGAATCACTTTCATGCTTAGGTCTGGAATGGAACAGCATGCTCTGTTTCAAGAAAAAAAAAAAAGAATGGCAGCCATTCTGCAGCTTCTTCCTTGACTTAGCGGTGGCTGAAATACCTGCATCTACCTAGGTTGCTTCCTTGAATTAAGTTGGTCATGTGAATTATTTATTTTCATTTGCAATTCATTTGTGTATTATAAGACTTGGTTAGAAAGTATTATAAAAGGCATTATTTTATTAGTTTTAAATGAGAATTTGTCTCTTAATAGAAAACAATAGAGAAAAAAAATTCATGTAGTTGACCTCACATAGTAGGATAAAAGTTTGTTGTTGTTGTTGCAATTCGTTCGTGTATTTCTTTTCATATATTGACTTTCCAGATTCCAGATGTTTACAGTTGAGAAGTTATTCTTTGCTGTTGGTGGATGTTTTTTGTCCATTTCTTGTTGATTTTGTATCACATTATCCTGAATTATGACAATACAGGTCCTATACATCCTACTTAGATTGATCATTTTTCATTCAAGCTTTTCTTGGAAACATTGGGTTGGACTCATAGTGACATCTTTAGCATATTGGATTTCATATCAACAACTTGCCAAAATGGCAAAGCCTACATACTCGGATGATAGAGAACTGCTCGATGGTGGGTTTGACATGTCCACTGGTGGAATTTGTAGGTGAGTTTTATGTTATTGTAATGCCTCTTCATCTCCTGTCAAATTTATATCTTATCTATGTTAAGAATTTAGTATCATTGGCCACAAGAAGTTCATGTCCAATAATATTTTAATATGAAAAGCAATGGTTTTTTAATTGATCCCACATGGTGGGGATAGGGCTAACGATGATACAGTGATTTTCTTTGAAAATAGGTATTGTTGCTGATTGGTATGGTGCTCTCTGTTAAGTGTAGTACTGTTGTTTTCTCTGTTTGTTCTTGCTTATTTGAATGCACCTACACTCTTCATATTTATGAAGCACATACATGAACATTACGATATGGACAAGACATAATACAAACATAGCAACCATAGACATGTTGTTCTATTTTATAAATTAATATAAAATATATAATTAAAAAAATGATATTTGTATTTTCCACTGAAGGCACAACATAGTGAACTATGATATCATATATATACATTTCACATAAAAAGATTAACAATAGCAAAAGAAAAGCAAACACTATTAATAATAAAAGAGATGTTTTTCACATATAACAATTATCATTTGTCAACAACATACGAACATTAGCATTCATTAATCATTATCAGTTGTCACATATTTTGCTAATACCTACATTTTCTGCAAAATCTAAAAAAATCATAAAAAAGAGTAACGCCAATGTTCTCTTTAACGTAATTAAACACAATATGATTATATGAGCATGTTGTTGATGCATATTTAGTTGGACTTAGCACACTCGATATTGTAGTTATCATCAACACATGTCAGGATCACCGTCACACCTGCATTTGTGCCCTTTTCAATGACATATTTACCTAAGTAATTTTCAAAATGTCAAGCATTCCAATGTCAATGTCATCTATTATAGTTAATGTATCCTCATAAGTGCTCTACAATTTAGCTTGTAATTGAGTTTATTCTTCATTTTTCCTTGATAAAAGGCAAAAATTGGTATGCGCAAAGACCAAATCTTCATCCTGTTGATTAGTGATTTTGTTCCTCTTGAGTGAATAGATAGATAAAAGAATATGCATTCCAATTTCTTTTGCAACAAAAATAGGAATATGATTATGCTAACAATTTAGAAGTCAAACTTTATAGTATCGTCATGTGGAACTAGCTCCATAAATTATGCACTATGCCTTTTCCATCCATAGTGCCTCCAAAAGCTAGAAGAGTCATAATCAACAGAAGTATCACTAAGTCTAAAGAATTTAGTATACTCTAAATTAATCATATTGCTCGAGCTCTTCGCTATTTGGAAATAGCCTATCCAAATGTGTTCCTCTTGTTGACTGGTTTTTTTTTTCTCCAGAACTAGGTCAAAGAGTTGACCCGGTCAAATTTGACCAGGCTAGACCCCAGGACCCATCCCAATGGGTCCAGGGAGTCAAGCCAGGTCTGCTGAGACCAGACTCAGGTCCTGGGTCAACCTGGTTGACCAGGTCAACCCATGTTGACCCATTAAAGCCCAAATCAAATTCTAAAGCATTTAAACCATTGCATGACCTAACCCACCACTCTCTTGGCCTAATTGACTAAGTTGACAAAGTCAAACCTTGACTTGGTCAAACCAAGCCATAATTAGGTAAATTTGGCCTATTTAAATAAAATTTAAGCCTAATTAATGCATTAAATTCATTCCACTCAATTTCTAAAGCAAGACCACGGCTAATTCAAAAATTTCCCTCCTATTTGACTCCCCATTGAATCCTAGCCGTAGATCTAAGGGTTTGGACCTTTAAATACAAAAAATTAGGTCAACTTTTAATCTTTTTTTTGCTCTTGCTCTCTCCCCAAGCCTCCATAACCCGAGATCTTTGAGGTGAGAGCTCCCAGGACCTGTACCCACACCTCCCAAGCCAAACCCGACGGTGACACCTCGCAGGCGATGAGGATTCCGGCCACCCGAGGGGATTTCCGTTCCAAGGCTTCACCCCGTTGATCCATTGCGTTTCGAGACGTGGTTTCTTCTACAAAAGGATTCGTGGACAGTCTACAAGTGCAACAAGTCCAAGATCTCCCGAATCCACCGTGTGGATTAGGTAAAAACTCAAAAATAGCTTTCCAATAAGTACTTTTTGGATCGAACCAAGCGTCCTCCACGATTGTTCTTCACTTTTAGAGGCTAGGTTTCAAATTTCGTGTAATTTTGTTCACTCGATCGAGAGAACGAGGCAAAATATTATTTAGGGTTTCGGTTTTCACCGCCCGTTCCTTGCGGACGATTTGAGTCGTTGATCGCTCGATCAACGGTTCAGATCTTATCTTTCCGCGGTTCCCATCCGACCGTCTTCCTGATCTGTCGTTCGACCGTACGGTCCAACTCGATCAGGGCCCTTGATCCTGCGCCGCGCGACGATCGACGTCCGTGATCGAGGCCAGTGGTTAAGTGGTTGCCACGTCAGCCAACATTGCCAGCGCCGCCGTATCATGGGACATGATTTGGCGGCGACGCAATGATTGGCGCGGTCTCGGGATCCAATCCTGGCTGCACGTGTTTCTGCACAGTTGCTGCTGCCGACTTTTCTTTTAAGTAAGTATTGTAATTATTTTTAACCTATTTTATTTTATAAAATTCATAAAGTTCATTTTCGATCGTTTTCTTGCGCACAATATACGATCATTCGAATTGAATTCCCCCCTCCCCCCCCCCCCGCCTCCCCCCCCTCCTTTAATTTAAAATTATTTTATTTAAAAATATTAAGTGCATTTTTTTGATTGTTTTTGAGAAACAGGAAAAATAGAACTATTTTAATTATTATTATTTATTATTATTTTTAAAAACCTTAATATTTATATTTTGTTGCCTTTTTATTATTTAATTATCATTATTATGATTTTTATATTTAACTATTTTCTTATTAACTTTAGAATATCAACTTTTTTTTATATTGTATTATGTTAAATAATTTTAATTATTTCATTATGTTATTGTTATTATTTATTTTATTATTATTATTATTAATTGTTTTTATTATTAGTTGTCATTATGTTCAATCATAATTAAGCTTAATTATAATTTAATATGATTTTGATTTTATTATTATTATTATTATTATTATGTATTATTATTATTATCTTTAAAATTAAATGTATTTAATGTTTAATTATTACTATTATTGTTATTATTTTATTATTATTATATTTTATATTTGCTAGAATTTCATAAAACTTTCAATATTTTGACTTTAATTTATTTTTATTATGTTTAATATTTAAATATTTTAAAAGCTTTTTTAAATTACTTTAATTGTTTTAAC